ATCTATCTATCTATCTATCTATCTATCTATCTATCTATCTATCTATCTATCTATCTATCTATCTATCTATCTATCTATCTATCTATCTATCTATCTATCTATCTATCTATCTATCTATCTATCTATCTATCTATCTATCTATCTATCTATCTTTATTCCTTTTAGAACTCACACATCTATCTATCTATCTATCTATCTATCTATCTATCTATCTATCTATCTATCTTATCTATCTATCTATCATCTATATATCAATCTATCTATCTATCTATCTATCTATCTATCTATCTATCTATCTATCTATCTATCTATCTATCTATCTATCTATCTATCTATCCACACAAAATTTCCCTATTGTGACTGATATCACAATAAGGAAATTCGAAGTTTAGAAGTGTGTCAAAACTGTTCCTACAAATTTTAGTGCAAAGAATCACTCTGAATCACTTCAGCATATTCTGTATGCTGAAACATTACAAGGTCATATTATTGAACCTAAGAGTTTAGCACATGGAATAAAGCCTCACTCCATTATTTCCCTCTGTACCTAACTTTATATTTGACAAAAGCAACATTTGTGACTTTTTCTAGCTGTGTACATAACCTAATCATATTTATAATATCCAGTGGTGAGAACATTTCGTGAGGGGACAATTCCTATTGATGGATTCTGTCTGTCTGCCTGCCTGCCTGCCTGCCTGTCTGTCTGTCTGTCTGTCTGTCTGTCTGTCTGTCTGTCTGTCTGTCTGTCTGTCTGTCTGTCTAGAATAATAGAAGGGAATCATTTCGGGACATGTCTTGAAACTGTCATAAAAAGAAATGACTTTTCAACTTCAACAGGCAGAAGAAAAACATATTTATGAGCCAAGGAGGTTTGTTAGTGGAGTTATGCTGACAGGACTGTCAATCAGGGAATCTGAGTTGATTGTCTCACCCAGTCCAGTACTTTCCACTCTAACTTTTGTTTTCAATTGTAATTTACTTCTTTTGTCATTTTCTGCCTGGTTAGTTAAATTATTTTTCAATAAAACTGAATCTTTTGAATATCTGAACATTGTTTATGGATTATTTGCAATCAATATAATTTCTACTACAGATAACTTAAAGAAGATGCATCATGAATAAGTTGAAAATTCCAAAACTGTTCCAAGAGAAGGTTAAACAATGGGTAGCAGGATGGTGCAGTATGTAACACTGTTGCTTTGCAAAAGAAGGTCACAGTTTTAATCAGTGGTCTTTGTGTAGGAAGTTTGCAACATTTTCTTGTACATAAAATTCTCTCCAGGAACTCTGACTTCCTCCCACAGTCCAGGAAACACAACTGTTACCTCTTAATTGCCCTTAGGTTTCATTGTGTGCATGCATGGGCGTCTGTCCTCTGTGTTGTCCGTCTGTCCGGCATGAACCTATATGTTGGAGAATGGCACAAACCTTCTCACAAACAGTTATAGTCAAGGATTGGAAAGTTTAAACATGAATTTGTTTGTATATTTTTTTAATTTTTGAGAAGACTGCAATTATAATATGGGAAATGGCATAATCTGTATCTGTTGTACACTGGAGAGAGGACAAATGTTTTATTGCTTTCACAATTTAAGAAATGTTTTATCTTTGATCATCAATGGGATGTGGGTCATTTCCTATTAAAAAAGGTATTGCTATATGAAGAGTGTGATTTTAAATGCACTATTACTTTATATTTAAAAAAGAAATGTGTTTGGGTTTTTTAAACCTACACAGAATTCACAAGAAAAATAGATATTACTAAATCATTTTTGTAACTTTCTACTTTTATCTAGCTTCTAATGAGCTTTAAATGCACCATCAGACTCCCTCTGTGGCTCGTTACTGATCCCATGAAATAACAACGGCTTTTTTATGGATGGAATGAATGAGAAAATAGCAGACAAAGAAACCAATGACACCAGGAAGTAAAATAGTTTGCTTTAGCTGAATGAATTTAATTTATTTCTCTAGATTTGAAGAAAAAAAAATCTGTCGTCTTTGCCTTACGGTTTGCTGATCAGGCAAAATGCTTCATTAAAGTCCTCAGGCAATGCTATGCTTCTCTACGTCGCTGGTAAAAATAATGCATTTTCTTTCATTTACATTGACTTGCATTTCCGCTTGGAAGGAGCGAGTTAGGAGTATATATGGTTCTAATAGCTGCTTGAAGGTTTCTTTTCTTCATTACCTGTTCTCTATGTCATCAAATATGCAGACATGTGTGATGCAAACTGTCTTAATGGTTTAATAAATCAGTTTCTACAATGTGAAATTAATTTGATCTGACAAATGGGAAATGTTATGTACCGAAGGTTTTACCTGTGTTGCAGATTTACAACCAGCTTCATGTGGTGTTCTCTGCTGTGGATTTAGAGATGGCAAATTCCCTGTTTCCATTAAAAGCAACTCAGATTACACCAGGAAGTGGGGAAAAAAAATCTGCCTGCATCCATATTTGAGGCAGTGATTTTTTTTATATGACATTGAAGAACACAGTTTACAACAAAGATGATTATCAAGAAAACTAAAAATATAAAAAGACTACACTACTGTTCAAAAGTTTGGGGTCACATTGAATTGTCCTTATTTTTGATGGAAAAGCACTGTACTTTTCAATGAAGATAACTTTAAACTAGTCTTAACTTTAAAGAAATACACTCTTTACATTGCTAATGTGGGAAATGACTATTCTAGCTGCAGATGGTTTTTGGTGCAATATCCACATAGGTGAATAGAGGCCCATTTCCAGCAACTATCACTCCAGTGTTCTAATTGTACAATGTGTTTGTTCACACATCTCAAAACAGTTTAGCTCCTTACAGAAGCTACAAAACTGACCTTCCTTTGAGCAGATTAAGTTTCTGGAGCATCACATTGGTGGGGTCAATTAAATGCTCAAAATGGCCAAAAAAGAGAACTTTCATCTAAAACTTAACAGTCTATTCTTGTTCTTAGAAATGAAGGCTATTCGATGCGAGAAATTGCTAAGAAATTGAAGATTTCCTACAACGGTGTGTACTATTTGAAACAATGAATCATTATATTTCCAAGATTTAATACACAGCATATTTCCAGCATTCATTTCTGTTAATGATTATGCCTAGGAGGAAGAAACCTTGTGTGAATTTGGTTCAGGAGTCTCACAATTCTCTTGATAACACCTCGTTGATCCTTTATGGGGTTTAGGTAAATTTCTTCTTTCAGTTCCAAAAATTACACTTTTGACATTGTCTTTGGTTCAAGAAAGGCTGAAAGGAGCCCGATTGTTACGACCCTGCGGCTTTTATGGCTCTTGACGCACTAAATCCAGTCCAAACCTTTCAAACCTTTACCAGCCAAACCTTTGATTAGGCTTTTGCCTCAGAATCATCTTATGGATATGGTTTTTCCTTCCTCTAAACTTTCCAATTTGATGCCAGCACCACGACAACAGCCAACACCTATTGCACCGACCCTTTGTTACTTATCCTTGTTGTTATCCTAGGCCACAATGTTACATTCCTTGATTAAAAATACTTTTCTCTTGGTGTAGTGGGTTAAAAATATCAGATAAACTGTAATAGGTTTTAGGTAGCTGTAACCTACATTTGTTAAGTGTTTGTAAAACAGTAAAAAAAATATCCTTCTATGATTTTATTACTTACATTTAATTGGTCAAATAATTTAGCCTGTAAATGATATTCTGTCTAATCGATATATACCTCAATCTTGGTTTTAGGCATCTTTTAGATGAGCTTCGGCTTAGGGAAATCAACTGAACACATCAGATTTGCCTGTAAAACTGTAATCAAAAGGCTTCGTTTAAAGTAAGTCTCTTATGCATAACCATCCTTTTGAAAACTTTGTTGTCTTAAGTTTTTATGATTTCACTTGAGCTCCTACAATACACAAAATTAGACATGCTATTTCTTTTGGAAATGTCACAGTGATGTCCTCTTAGCAATCATAAAAAAAAAGCAAACACAAAAAAGTGACAAACAGTTGTCTTAGTGACAGAGCTTCCTATTTCTGTCCAAGCAGTTTAAGCAGGCAATGACAAAACAAGCAGGATCTCATTTAATAACTACAGGTGCACCTGATATATTGCATTAGACATTCCATCTTATAATTTGCTCGCTCCCCTATCTGCTACGGGTGAGTAAAGAACAAAAACAATGCTAATACCGGCTGACAATTTTGGAGGCATACATCACAGGGTCTGTTTATGGTGCGAGGCTGTATCTCAGGCTCCAATTAAGCATGCCAAAATGAGTTGCTGCAAGGACCGCGGCGGCTCCGGCTCAAAGTTATGGATGAGCAGTCACTCCGGCAATGCCTGACCCTGAGTGCTAATTAGATGTGACATAAGATAGTGGGAGCGAAAGCAAGACTTGTAAAGAAATTAAAATGGCTTTTGTCTAAGAATCCCGCTGTATAACAAACATGGAGAGACTAATTGGAGATATAAAGGTAGACAGGGTTTGCACTTGGCAGCACAGATAACAACTCAGAGATTAGAATTATCCATGCAACTATCATTGTTAGTTTACTGAAACATGCAGGACTATTGGCTTATCAAAATTACATATTAGTTTTTTTTTTTTGTTTTTAGATATAGGCCAAATAGGCAAATGAACAGGGAAACATTATAGAAAGACGAGTGCACAAGAAAAAAAATCTTTAACTTTGACATCAATTGTGTTCTTCTGCTTTTATGCATGTGTTATTAATGAGGAGTTGGCTCCACCTGCTTAATGCTAAGAATATAGAGGCTGGAATACATAGTTTGTGCAGAATAGCACTGCATTTATATCAGTCTCAGTTGACTTTCTACACATTAAATAGGGAGGATAAACTTTATTTCTCATTCCTTCTCTTCATATCTATCCAGTAGTTCAACAAAATCAAGATAACCTTTATATATTAACTAAACTTAATTTCTTCATAAAGAAGTTAATGTTTCTCTTTAATATAATAAAGTCATAAAGTGGGCAGTAATAAACACAATCCAACTCTCTTCAGAAAGCAGCATTCAAAATCTTATTTTAATTTGTATATTTACTCCATAAACATTATTACAAAACTCAGCAAGTTACCAATATTACATTATCACCATACAGGCTTGATCACAAATATTTAAAACCTTTGCAACAGTTACAACAAAAAAAGAAAACAAAAAACAAAAACAAAGTAATACTCAAATAATTTACATGAAAATCTATAAAACAGCAAATTGTTCACAAATTATATTTTTTCCCCAAGATTTCATGTTTTTTTTTCTTTGCTTATTTGTGTTTTGCACAGTAACACAACACTCTCACAACAAGATCATGATCTTATTACAAAACTCCCAACAAAATGTAAATATTTCTAGTTTTTCTGTTGATACTTTCATATTTTGGTTTTTAAAACCAGAAACGTGTCGTCGTATATCCTTTCCACTGCCCACAGAGGCGCATAAAAGGTTACTCACACACACAAATACTTCACAGCACTTTCTAAGAAAAATATACACTTACAAAATATGTTACAAATTGGCACACAAAAAATATACAAGATTTTGTAGTGTCAAGAGTTCATTAAGATTCCTTCTGGTAACAACTCTAGACAGTATATATAAAGCTCGGTATTCTTTTAATGAAAAGAGCAAAAGTAATTCCAATCAGTGTCAAAGAATCATGAAGTGAATACATCAAACATAACATAACAAAACATAACATCGTAATATACATTCATAAACAGGGTTAGGTACCTAATCTGTTTTGCATTTCTCTTTTTTTTTCTTTTAGATAACGCTGGGAAAAAAAGTCAAACCCAAAGAAAGGAATTTTCTGCTTTCTTAGCACCATTAACATGAGGCAGCTCAACAGTGGCACATTTTATAAACATAAAGAAAAAAAAAAACTAAGAAAAAAAGTAAAGTGATCAAATAAAAATTTAGATGAACTTAGATAAGTACATTCAATTTGACAATAGGCAGAAATGAGAGAAGGCAGACTGAATGGGCCTTCAGCCCATGTGGAGCTTCCCATCAGCAGCTTGTCTTGGCCCTAACCCTGATACACTATAGAAAGTAACCAGCTTTTCATGACAGAGTAGAAAGGAAAAAAAGAGACACAAAAAGATTGATTATGATCCTTGCCGTATGCAAGCAATCAATTTCTATAACCTGTGTGTCAGAGATGCCATATTCAATGTGACAAAGGCTGTTTTGGAATCAATCAATCAGTTTGCCGGTACCTCTCCATGCAGTCTTATGTAATTACTGCTGTGTTCAAAATTTTAATGTTCAAAACAGAGAAAAAAAAACATAGACCTTGCCTCGGTAGATATGTGTAAGATACTCAACTGCTTGATTGGCTCTGCATTTGTCCTGAATGTAGGTTATGAAATATAATCTAAACATTTAATTTCTTATTAAATATGATTGTTAGGTCTACTTTTAAATCTGATTTCTAAACTTTTGTTTGGTGCTCTGAGGTAGAGAATGAGCCCAAAGGGAGGTGACAGACATTTTGAATTAAACATGCAGTGAAGCCATAGATGTCTCACAGAGGGCAGCATTCCACTGCTGGATCTGTGCGAGTTGTTTAGGCAGAATGTGTGCAAAACTGGAACTTCATCTTAGTGGAATGCAGCCCTTCTTAACACACTAATGTTTTCACCGCTCATTAAAGTCAACATGCTGGCTGTGAAATAGATCATTATAATGGTGGTCATATATTACTGCTCAGTAGAGTAGGCATGGGCCGGTTCCTGGTATTAAGGTTCGACAGGGTTTTAAAATGTTTCTGTTTGAAAAACTATTGAAACTGTTCTGTCATGCCAATACAACAATTCAAAGCACGTCTCATAAGACGACACAGAAAGTGTCAGGGTAATAGTTGTGAGCTTTAGCTGGAGAAATACATAGCTTCCCCTTCCCCAGTTGTTTCAGATTGGCAGCCAGCCAGCTTATATGAAAAACAAACTTGGCAGTTTGAAAAAAAATATTTGGCACAGATCATATGAAATTTAAAAAAGCCACCTACTTTATAACTTTTATCAAAAGGAATTTTTTTCAAAGTGAACGTCTGTAAAGTTATAATTAGCAATAGAGCCCTTACTTGTAAGACAATTTATATCACAGTAAGTAAGAAAGAGCAAAGAAATCCTCAGAGTATTGGTAGGCTAAGTTCTAGTCGGGGGGGGGGGGAACCCTTCATTTAGTAAATTAGAACATTTTAAACTGAAAATGTTTAAATATGAGGCACAAATTACAAAGAACTGGAAAATAGCCAATGTTTTACCAAGATGAAGTTATTTCTAAAGGAAGGCCACTGGGTTTATTAGTTTGCATGGCCAGCATATCACAGCTATAATTTCAAAATATAAAGAAAAGCACAGGATGGGACCATCTGCAATTCTGCTTTTTATAAATGACAGCCTGATCAACAAAAAAAAAAAAAAAATCCAACAGTTTTATTTAACAGTTGCAGCCGATCAAGCTCGACGGACAAAGTAGCAGTATGGTAGGAACTGTAGCATGGGAATACAGATTAACGATTGCTTGCAAAAGAGAATAAATTTAATAATTACCCTTTTTTGAGTTAATTTAGTTTGCTAAATTCCACAAAAAAATTAGGTTTCTCCCACTCCTTCACTCTAAAGATTTCTTTACTAGTTATTATCATCATTGTTATGGGACATCTTTCTTATACAGCTAATTACTGATAATAACCTCACAGAACTATAAGTTTATAAAAATCTAATTATTCAATTGAGACAACCCTGTTTAAAAACTATTATCAGCCGCTGTAAAGCAGCAGATTGAGCAGACAGCATGATTAATTGACCAACCAAAACAGGCCTGTTATTCTCGTGTTACTCTATAACGAGTAAAACTACAAAGAAGCTTGTTATTGAACTAATAAGCATGTATGAACTAAACTAAATTTAATGGGGTATTTATATTTTCCGTCTGTGAATCAAAATCAAAATTATAATAATTTTATACTAGAAAACACTATTAATACTTTAAAAGTCAATATATTATTTTAGCAGCAGTAGAGTTTTTGTTTTGACTGAAATACATTAAATTAGATAACGTTAATATTTTTTTTGTGTGTGTGTAACTTTGTGATACAGAAAAACTGTTGTATTTTTAACTCAAAATTATCATTCTGTGAGAATCTCATACCGGCCCATGTCTACTGGTCACAATATTTTTCATAGACTGAAATTACAGATAAACTCTTAAAAATAATACACAGTAAATAAATAAAAGTTTTGATAATATCAAATAAATGTGATGATATGTGATACAGGAGGTGTAACTTATAAATTAAGGCAATGTTAGTAAACCAAAAACGGACGGGAATCTCTGAAAATTGTCATTTTATATTTACCTTCCAGAAATAAAAGCTTATATGAGGAGTGAATGCAAAGACATGCTTTCCTTCATTTACAAGATTACTGATTCCATTTGTACTGAAAACTTTCACATTCACAATAAACCGAACTGCAAAAATGTCCATTCACAGCTGATGCATGCATCAGAATCTCTACGAGTGATAATCCCACTTAAATTTCCAGTACAAACAGCTATTCAGCAAGGCGCAGCCCCAAATGACATGTCATTTACCTGCTTACCCACAGACATTTCCACAACATGCCTCTTGGTCCAGAGAGAGGTTTTTTTGAACCTCTCTTTTCACCCAGTCCTTCATCTCCCCTTTGCTTCTCTTTTGTTGCTTCTCCATGCCAGGCGGTGTTGAGGTAAATTGAATTTGGCAAACAAAGTTGGGAGGGGGGGATGAGGAGAATTCAGAGTCTTTCTGATTTGGTTTTGTGAGTGGCGGTGTACCACTGCCAGCTGTTGGTGCCTTTCGTCAGAGGAGAGAGAAAACATCTCAAATAAAGAATTCCTGTAGTTGCAAGTCTCTGTAAGGAGTCTCCAACCCGAGCAGCCAATATTCCAATGGATAGAAAAGAGGAACAGCAAATATTCACACATATATAAGAGATCATTTACACAGCATTGTTACTTTTGGCACATCGATTTTAAGATTATAATCATCTTTTCTTGCAAATATTGCATGTCCCTGTACAACAACATTGACAAAAATACTCTGAGGGTGGAGCTTTTATGAATTTGCAAGGCGTAAAAATGTAAATTTGGATTATTAGTTCTTCTCAACTCCAGAAGTAAACGAAACACTCAGTAAAAGGAAATGGGGAGTCATTCCAACTTTGAGGAGAGAAAGAAAAAGAAAAGACGTCTGATATGTCATCAATACAAAATGGTCCCATCTTTTGTGTTTAAGATGTCTCGCTCTTAAATAGGGCTCATTAACGGTAGGTTCCCCTCTTGAAATGAGCCAGGCAGTGTATGAAGGACAGCAACACAGGACATCCATATTCTGCATACAAAAACAGATGAGGAGGGGGGTGGGGTGCGTAGATGTCACTCAATGCATTTGTGTATATAGCTACATCTTTAGGGGAAAAGCAAAATTAATCTGAAATTCAGGGCAGATAGTTCTGCTTAGAAAATACAAAAAGAAAAAAAAAACAAAGTTCCTCAAAAAGGCGACAGAACTGTTTTCAAGGCTTATTCTCTTTTTTTTCAGACAAAAGTAAAACAAAAACAACTAGAAGAGTAACAAACAAAGCAAGAAACAATAAAAGCAAGAAAAAAAATGCAGCCATGGTCGTTTCAAATCTCAATCAAGCTTGACACAATCACTCAATAGGTAGTTTGCAAAGTACAAGAAGTTTTTTCATGCAGATATTCATTTCCTCTTCAGGGGAATAGGGGGGGTTAAAAGGAAGCAGGAGTAGTCAGGGGAAACGAAGTACTCATGCAGCTCTGGCATAGCATCAGTGTGGGTATATTTGGGAGGGAGGGCTGAGGAGGTTGTGGGGGTAGGAGTGAGAAGGAGGGGAACAACAGCAGCTGATAACAAAATATTACCTCAGTTTTTCATAAGAAGTCATCAGTGCTATGTCCTTATTCTGGTCTCTCTCAGCTCGCTTCCCTTTCAGTGTCTCAATCCGAGGGAACTTTGCGCTGGTCTTGTGGCGGTAGAGCTTTTTGTGTGCTGGCCCAGGGTTAATAAAGCTGGGTTTGTCGAACATGTTGCAGCCCAGCGCGAGCTGAGGGAACAGAGGGTGGGCCGGGTTGAATTTGGCCTGGTTCTTTCCTCCCTTTCCACCTGCCTTCCTGCCTCTACCGGCCCCTGTTAGTACGGCTCCTTTCTTTTTCAGGTCAGCCTCTGTGCCTGCTAAGATCTTTAGGGTCTTTAGGTTGAGGCTGTTGGCCTCAGAGGGCATGCAGGCCTCGGACATTGGGTTCCACAAAGGCTCGATAGAGGCCATCATGAACCGTTGGACCTCAGCCATGCCAGACACAATGTTGGACAGAATATTGGAGGGTTCTTCAAATTCTCTCTGGTCATCCCCTACCAGGCTGTTACTCTCTGACCAACCGGTGCCCGACCAGTCCCCGGTGCTGTTACTTTCACTTAGGCCTACACCACCAGCCTGATTCTTTGCTGCCTTGCCCTCTAACATGGCCTTTATCTTTTTGGTCGACCGGGAGTTTTGCTTAGGAGTCTTGACCTTTTCTGCCTTTGGAGCTCTGGGAGCACGGCCTTTCTTTGGGCTTTGCCCTGTGGCTGTCTGCTTGCAGCTGCCTTTCCTCTTAGACTTTATGCTTTTTGCACCAGACTGTTCCTCAAACTCTCCCAGCTCCTTTTTGTCCAAGCCTTCGACATCTTGACTGTTAAAGTTGTGCAGAGGAAACTGACCATCCTCCATAGTGTATGCATTTGTTGAGTGCTCCTGTTGCTGTATAGCTTCACAGTTCCACTTCATCTCCCTATTGCAGTCTATAGTCATATCGCTAACATCCTGGTACTCTCCAACATTCCCTGCCATCTTCATTTCACGCCCTACCACCTGGGGGGACAGATTGGGGGTCTCAGGAGGAGAAAGTTCTGACAGTGATGAGTGTCTGAACTTGTCAGGAGTGAAGTTGGAGATATCCAGCAGGTCTGAGGACTCCCTGAGAGGGGTAAGGGCATCCACACTTTGCTGAATCACCACTTTAGGGCTGCAGTGAGCTAAAAAGCTGTCTCGGCCCTCCTCCTCACCCTCTCGTTCACAAGATTTGAGGCTGAGAGAGCTGTAATTGCTGGAGGAGGCTGACAGGGAGCCCACTGAGTCATAGCTGATGAGCCTACCATTGTCTGTGCACAGGGACCCTCTTTGGTATTGCACCTGGCCCTCCACGCAGGCAGACTGACATGCTTGCAGATCTGCCCCAGGCTGAAGCCCCGCCTCAGTCAGGTAGCTCTTCTCATAAAGCAGCCTGTCAGCCTCAGGGCTCAGCTGGCTGTAGTTAGACACCGGCAAGCTGTCATTCAGGGGCACAGCAGCAGCTGGGAAGTTGTTGGGTAAGATGGGAGTCTCGGGGGTCTCAGGCCCAAAGCTCTGGCTGTGATTAGTACAGAGCTGCGGGTGCCACATCTGGGGGAAGCTGGGGCAATTCTGAGGAGACTGCTGGAGCTCCGACTCTGAGGGGGGCGAGAGCACACAGCTCTGGGCAAGCTGCAGAGAGGAAAACTGTTTCTCCTCCAGGGACAGCCCCAAAGGATACTGCTGCCTTGACGTCTGCTGGGGGAAATAGGAGATAGCTGTTCCACCAGAAGAATCTGTAGCATCTAACAGGGTCTGCAAGTAGCCCCCAGGGATGACAGGGACACTTGTCCCCACCTCCTCTGAGGAAGGTGCTTTGTCAGGAGAGCAGGCGGAGGAGACAAAAGGAAATTTCTCCTCGGATGCATGAGTGTTGGTGGTATTGTCAGAGAAATTGGGTTTGATTGTAGTTGAACTAACGTCTGCCTGTTCTAACCCAGCAGCCGGCTCCTCAATCTGTACTGCACTGACACAGGCATCCGTTTCATTTGTCACACCACTCCCCTCCTTTTCCTCTGCCTTTTTCATTTTCATACTCCTCAGCCTGGCCTCACTTTTGAATTTCCTCATTCTGACTTTTCCTCCATGTCTCCTCGCCTCCCTCTCCTCCCATTCCTGAGAGCGGCTCTTGGTTCTGATTGTGTGCGTTGTGGAGCTTGAGTCTAATGTGACAGGGAGGCTTGTGGCTGCTATTATTCCTCCTGCAGTGGGGGAGGGGTCCTCTTTAGTGACACCTGCATGGCTCTGATCAGAGAGAGGGGAACCCTGTGTTGTTACTGATTGCTCCACAGTTTGAATTCTCTGAACCTTAAGCCTGTTTGCAATTTTGTATTTCCTTTTGGGGTGACTGGAACTGAAAGGCCGATGGTGGCGTCCGTTCAGATGAAAACCCCGTTGCTGTTTATCTCTGGCAGCCAGCTTAAGCTGTTCCTGTCTCTGTCTTTGCTTCTCCTGCCAGAAATCTTTCAGAGGAGACAGTGTTTCATATTTGCTTAATGTATCAGCATTTAGACTGACTGTTCCATCCAAAGGATCAAGCTTGCCCAGTTTTACTGACATGAGTCTTTCTCCTTTGAACCTGTTGATGATTATGTACTTGATGACCACAGGCGGCTCTTTTCGATAGGATTTTCGCCGTTTTTTTGGACACCAATCCACATCCTCCTCTTCTTTCTGACCTGTGGGACCTTTCTCCTTTTTTTCAGCATTCTTTTCACTCTCAAGCGAGTCGACGTCATACAAGTAATCATCGCTGTATCGGACCTTTCTCTTTGACCGAAGGCCGTAGTTTAGAGGGTTCGAGGGGCTGAGAAATCTCTTTGAGTGACCCTTTTTAAACCTGCCCTCCTGCAAAGTGTCTGAGGAGGAGCCTGTGCACGAGCTATCATCACTGAACTCTCCGGACTCCTCTGTGGAATTAAAGTCTATTAGGTAGCTGACTTTGGAGGCCGACATGGGGGAGCCTTGAGAGCCGTCAAGCGGGCTCCTACCACTGCTATCACCACCTCTTCCTTCCTGTGCTGCCTCCAGTATTAGATCATCCGTTTTGGATTGGATCTCCTCAGTGCTCCTCTTTAATATTGACGATCCTTCCTCTTTCTTGGCACAGTTGGCCAGCACACTGGGGAAGAAGTTGAACTGCGTCTCCTCCTGAAGTACATTTGTTTTTTCCCTCATGTTGTCCTGGAATGATTCGTAGCGAATCTTAAGTGAGCAGACATCACTGCTAAGCGTTGAATCATCGTCTTCATCATCAAATAGATTGTCGACATCCTCCTCGGAGAAGAGGTTGACAGAAAGTTCATTCTTGGAGCAAAGATCCAGCAGTTCCATCTTACTCTCGCTGATGAATGACTCAAAATAGCCCCAGTCCTGACTCGCATTAGCCAACAGGACCTCCTCTCCACTAACTTTATCCAGCAGCAGTCCCTCATACAGGTTTTTAGCTGTGGCATCATCTTCTGGGTCATCACAGTCCACAGTGGTTTTATTTTCCTCAGTTCTCTTGGCCTCATTTGGGGCTTTGGGAAGAGGAAAGCTAAGTAGCTGGTCGGAGAGGAGTTGCTCACCAAAGTGGCTTGCCGGCTCTCCTGCATGGCTCAGGCACTGAATGCTGATGTCGTTGATGTCAGAAAAGTCCTCTCGGCTTACATCCCCTATCCGTACACTAAGCCCAGGATCTGCATCAGGGTTGGTGTTGGGGTTAGTTGGGGGGTTCTGGATGGTACTGCGATCCGTAGCGTCACGGGTTTCAATTAGGCAGCCAAGGCAGGTTTGAGCAGGCTGAAGAAGACACTCCTCTGTCAGTGCAGACACAGTGCCAGGTTCCATAATTGTACTAGACAGTGGGAGGGTAATGGTCAGTGCAGGGGATGTTTTCTGTGGTTCTCCTGTTAGGGCCCAGGAGCCTGCAGTTGGGTGGGGAAGTGGTGGAGGAGCACGTTGAAGGTGGGGGCCTATAGTTTGAGCATCACTGGATGTAGGGCAATGTGCCACTGCTTGAGCCAGAGAGAGGTCCCCACCAAGGGCCAGAGGGAGGGGCGATGGTGCAGAAGTGGTCCTCTGGAGGGTTGGGAAGACCTGCTGTGGCGTCTCTGCAGCAGGAGGACGTGAAGAACCAGGAGGGAGCGCAGCATCCACGAGTCTGCATAGACTCAGCTCACCACTCTGCACACATACCCCTGCAGGGAGAAAGTAAAAAAGGATTTCAGTGCTTTGAACTGTAATCCTGAACAGTGTTTTTTTTTGTGTGGTAGTCAAATTCTTCTCGGCTGCTCAAATGTAATTAATGTCAATTAACCCCCTGGAGCTCTAAATGTCAGTTTGTGATACTATTCTTAAACGTTACTCATTAACTTTTTGTACTAGATTCAATAAGGGGTATTAACAATGTCAAGTTGAACATCTTTGCATGTCGACTCTAAAGACTATATGCAAGATGTAATATACAGCAACCTTTTTCAATAAAACATGCATAAAATGCAAGGGGAAGTAAAATAAGTAAAATATAAAATAATTAAAAAGGTGCTGACTCTTTGTACTCACAACAGGCACATAAATAATTAAACAAGATTTTTTTAAATTTGCAATAATTATTTATATATTAAATGGGATGCCAGGAAATAAATAACTTCTGTTGTATGCACAATTCTAAACGAAATGTATCACAGAAAAAGAATAAAATGAAAAAAAAAAATCCCTTTGAGAGTTGAGGGGACCTGGTGGTAAAGAGAAGATATGTAGAGTTCTGGGAAAGTAGTTGCCTACAAACAAATTTCTCCTGTTTTCTCTATCTTGTCAAAACCTCTATCTTGTCTCTATTATAGAGAAAACCAGAGTAAGAGCAACTGCGACAACTTATGGCCGTTGCTATTCAAGTCTAGACTTTAACTAAGCAAGTCCAAACCCTTACTTTGTTTTCTAAGGAATAAATGTTTGAAAAACTTTAAGATCCATGTTTGATTAATACAACATGAAGAATCCGTTAAGACTTAGAACTGCTGACCATTTCACCTTTACATTTTTAAAATCACATTTGTTTTTTTGGAACTAGAATTGTTAAATTAAAGAAATGCAAACCAGACAAAACCCATAAATATTTTACAAATTTCAGAAATATAGTCTAAACATAGAAATGTTGTCTTGATTATAGAAAAGGGCTTCTTAGAACCATGTTCTTTTTGATATGAGGTTGCCCTCATGACTGACATGTTTTTTTTTTTTTTATCTGTCTCATTATATTCAATATTTATACCTTGCTGCATATTTAGGCTTTTTTATTTCAAAGGTATCGATTACAAGTGCTTTATTTTGTTAATTTTGTCACACTGGTGCAGGAAGTAAAAGCAATCTCTGGTCACATTGTACTCTGTGGTAGGGAGTAAAATTCATTCAGTTTAATCAAATGATAGTTAATAAATCTGTTGATAAACTTTCTAGCAACAAGTATTTTTTCTTTTTAAAGAGAAACCTACACAAGCAAAACCTTAACTTTCAAAGACACATTTTTAAAGCGTCCTTATAGCGTCTATCTAACTAAATGCCAGAGTCTGAGTCTCACTTTTAAACAGAAATACATTGAATAAAAAATACAGATCAAGAGCTAAAAATCTAAGTTAAAATTACTTTTCCAATAAAATATTTTGTAAACTTACAACAAGCATTTTATGACAAAAGCAAAATCATTTGACAACGTCCATTGGGCGTGTAACAATCAAAACTGAGAGTATCCGGCTTGCACCAGAAGGCAGATAGCTTTGTTTGCTCTGCATAATTAGATGACAGCAGCAGAGGCAGGTATGTACACATGGGACACGACAGGCCCATATGTTGGAGACTGTATAACCAATATCATCTCCACCTGCCTCCTACTCCGCCATCCCAAGCTGCTGTCTCACACATATTCTTTAAATCGGTGCCAGGAAGAAAATCTGAAATTGAAAAACACAGCACAGCAATTAATGTGCTCACAGAGGTTAACTAGCAACAACCCCCATTTTAGAATTGGATACGCCTAATCACTATTGAGGTAGTGATAAATGCTTGAGGCAAAGGCTGCTAAGCGAATAGCATTCAGCACGGCTGTATTGGCATTGAGTAAATCTTTGAATATGGATAGGATTTGTGAGTGATTTAATGAGGTAATGAAATTTCTGAGAGCTGGTCTCTGTGGGTCTGCATCCTGCAGACACAGTGGTGCAAGACGAAATGCCTTTTATCAATTTGTGACTGCTCTGCTGTCATCTTTAAAGAAGGAAAACCTCAAGAGAAAAACGCATCATCTTTTTTCCTATTAGAGTAAGAAAGCTGTTACAGTAGCAACTTCTCAGAGGTGGCAGTAGCATCACAGCGAGGCGTTCTTCATCAGCTCATTTGAATTTTTGAGCAAGGATGACCTCACAGAAAAAAGCCTGGGACTGACACATGTTCTCATTAGAGAGTCAGAACTATGGAGCTAGATTGGTCTCAGTTTTCACAAATACAGATATGTGATTCATACATGCACAGGACAAGATCCACACATGCACAACACGATTCACTCAAGCACAAAAAAATCCACACACACAAAGGACAAGATCCACAGACGCACAGCACGATTCACACAAGATCCACACAGGCACAGAACGTGATTCACCAAAGTATTTGTGGTCCATAAATAATTATAAATTAAATTACAAAGTACCAGTGGCCTTTAAACTTCATTGCATTTGTGTGTGGATTTTTGAGACTCCCTTGACATACCTCGATACACAAATGTATTATTTTTTTAAGCGGGATGGTTTGCCACCAATCGAAAAGCTTCCTTGTATAAGCCAATCACAAGAAAGTACTCAACGTGGAATGACACCCCCAGATCCCACATTCTCCGTATCCGTTTTTTCTCTACCTCCAGACATTACATTTGGACATTTACTGCTAAAGAGCAGCTCATCAAATGTGGATGGGTCGTTTCCAAAATGATTCATTTAAGATAACAGGATGGAAGTGGATTTTTTTTTAACCAAACACGCAGGCTGCCATTATGAACTGTAATATGACCTGCTCAGATTTCACTGGACTTCTCTTACAGGAAGAAATATGATGGAAAATCATGGCATATAATGCTGATGTCAGTAGGTCATGATCATGACTTTAGTTAACACTAGAGACAGGTTGCATTTGGAGGCATTTTCTAATCTACTAAGATAAATAAAACTATCCAAACCCATCTGGCCTTATGTTAGAAAGTAATGACCCTCCCATCCACTTTAGCAAACTTCATCAAGTGTGTTTAATAGTGGGGGTTCTGAAGACAAACCATGTGAGTTGTGTAATGCTTTTGCATGTAGATAATGTTAGTTGAATCATGACTCATTAAATCCACAACATCGTAAAATGTTAAATGTCCATAAAGTGTTAGACTGGTTCTGCTGGAGGTTTCCTCCTGTTAAAAGGGAGTTTTTCCTCTCCACTGTCGCTACAAGCATGCTCAGTGTGAGGGATTGAATTTGAGTCAATGAGTCGATGCAATCAGCTGGTTTTCCTTAGATAGAAAACTTTGAATCAATTTGACTGTATGATCTGGTTGAAATGTAAAGTGCCTTGAGATGACAAGTGTTGTGAATTGGTGCTATATAGATAAACTGAATTGAATTGAAATTAAACCTGTTAACAATAATAACAATGGAGTTGTTACCAAAGTTAAATTGGTAGTTAGTTCAAGGTAAGAATAAAATCAATATTTAAATTTTTGTGCAAAACTTTTGCTTTTAAGAGAAATCTTTATAGCCACAACAGAAAAAGCAGAGTCAGGGAGAAGACATTAAATCAGAGGCAGAAAACAATGAGGGGTCATTGCAGGTAAGAAGAGACAATAAATAGCTAAGAACAACATTTATATTGAAAACAACTATGCAGGTATCAGGATTTTCACATACATTCAGAATAAACACTTATTTTCACGCATCTTTTTTCGTATGTTTCTGTTTTAATAGGTAACCCTGTGTGAGGCCATGTGTGAGGGTAGAGAGCCTTTTGTCCTATTTAGCTAAAATGTGGATGTGTTTCACCTTTTCAAATCTTATGCCTCCGATGCTGACTTGAAGTGGCTTATTGTCCTGTAAACTTGTCTCTTCCATTCTTTTTTATGCAAAGTAATAATTGACTTAAATGAATAGAATTTTCCTGATCATGTAAGGCTCAATCTTTTTCTTTAACACCTAATAAACTATGAGCTAGATATCCTGTTGATGTTAGAAAGTAACTCTCTCAAATCAATCAGCGTTTGGCAACTAAAACTTAAGATTTTAAGAGCATATAGTATAAGGAAATATTACATTTAGGGCTGCAAGTAATGATTATTTTGCAAATCGATTAATCTGTCAATAATTTTTTCGATTTAATTGATAAATAATAGGACAGCAGAAGGTTACTTAAAGAAGGTTTTACACCAAACTAAACTAGGTGAAATTAAAACTTCTCTACTTGAGCATGTTGACAGACAAAAATGATTATTTCAAATGCAAAATGTTTACATATTTTTTTAAATTATGATATAATTACTGCTATAAGTGGGTCGCTCTATCAACTAAACATGTTTTAGATCCTCTGTACTCCAGTTAACGATTAATCCAATACTAAATTAGTTGACAATGATTTCAATAATCAATTAATCCCAATTAAACTAATGGTTTAAGCTCTAATTACACTGAGTTAGGTCAGGTCTTGAAATGTTGCTTTGTGCGATCTTTTATGCTCATCCGTCAGGTTATTTAAGGTGTTTTTTCTTTGCTTCACTGAGAATTCAAGCGGACAGGATATCAGTCAGTGCATACAGCGTTTCAGCACAGCATATAGAGATTACTAGCATTGTTATGGAGTGAACATTTTTGATTAGCATTTGCGTTCATCCTTGTGTGGTGTGTTTGTGAGTTTTATATGGCGTCTCATAGTTGTGTTGCTCAGGCAGCTGCATTTAACATATCCCAAAACAATCCATAGATCCAGATCATGTTCTATTCGCTGTAGTGACAGACTTAAGACCAAAATGGTGTTTTTTTTTTATCAAATCTGTCATTTAATTATGTAAATCTGTACATATTCCTATAGCATTTGAATATATACCAGATACCAAAAGTATTATAGGACTAACATAGGAGATACTACTTATAACTAGAAAGACAGAGTGTTGAAGCTATTGGAA